TTGGAAAAGATTGTTAAAAAATAGGCTTATTGCTGGATAGGGTGAAACAAAGGAGGACCAAACAGTAACAAGCAAATTAATTTTCCTGCAGCATCTCAAACAAACATAAGAGTCCATGTATGTCAAGTTTTCAATTCTAAAATTTTATTCAATTACATTATATCTCCATTGTACACACATAGATCAAAATGGCTATTAGCTAATGAGAACAATGTGAAGACGCAATATCTCATCTTGAAAGTTAATGTCATGTAATATGATATTGCATCTTATTAAATTTTTTACAACAAAATTAAATTATTGATATGCAGTTTTAAAAGGAGAGATTTCTTCTATTAGGGATTTATATAAAAGGGGGAGTTGAAAGAAAAAAATTTCATCAATTTTTATTTGTAGTTAAATAGAAATAAAAAAGTTATAAAGAGTTTATTTGTAAAAATTAGAACTGTTCATAACGATGCTGGTTTATATTTCTGATCATTTGCTTTTATTTGATCCCCACAAACAACCCCATGAGGTAGGATCTGTTATGGTTTTCAGTCTATAAATGAGGAAATTGATGCTCACAGAATCAAGTTATCTTTCACACAAATTCTTAATGACACGCAATTTTCACTGTAAAATTATTTTAGAGAGATTGCTATAATATCAGATTAGATGTGGGAGTCTGTTTTGCAAAGCTCGTGTCAAATATACTTTGATTACTTGAAAACTACTTGCTTTTCAGGCCAGGCCACCACACTTTAAAGTTGAAGCAAGGTAAGTAATCATAACCTATATTAATTTTTCAAGATACAGGCTATGTCATACTCTATGTTTTCATATCATGCTTTCATTGTATGATGCACTAAGTAGCAAACATTTTTTTTGTACAATATTTTTCAGAGGGTGACATAAACATTTGGAGAAAAAGATTCTCCTTTTAGTTGAGAGTATCACTTACTTCACCTTCAGCTTCCACAAATTAAAGGCCAGTAATTCCTTTTGCCAGTCATAGTGACTCTTTTACTTTCTTTTCTTTACCTTTTAGGCAAGGTCTCACTATGTAGTACAAGTTGGCCTTTAGGCATCATTTATGCTCAGCTACAATATAATTGATTAGCACACCCCACAATTAAAGATATTAAGCAAAAAGACCCAGCAAGTTGGACAATTTAGCAAACCACACAAAAATTATTTCCTATCAGGTCTTAAAGCTTAAATTCTCATGGATTAAGGGATGAGAGCATTCTAACAAAAAGGAATTTATTTTTGCCTGATTTCATTGTGCAAACTTGAAGCTGTAGTGTTTCATGTTCTCTGTATTGGTATGACTGGCCTTAAGGAAAAAGGGACAACACATTGTTATCACATGATGCAGTGCTTCAATGGACAGTCTACTCATGTACAGCAGGTTTAATTTGGTTTTATTTTCATCTATGAAAAAAATGATAGCTCCATATTTCAAAGAGTCAACAATTGGGATCTCACCTTTTTGAAAAGTTTTTGCACATCAAAAGTAATCACCAACAGAGTAAAAAGAAAACCCATGATCTGGGAAAAGAATTATAGCTGACTGTCCCTCAGACAAAGGACTCTTATCTAAAATTTATAAAGAATTTTAAAAAATCTGGGCCCCCAAATTCTAAGGCCCAATCCAAAAATGGACATCTGATGTGAATATACACTTCACAAACAGCAAATATATATATGAAAAATGTTCAGCATCATTGGTAATTCAAGAAATGTAAATTAAAACAACACTGAGATTCCATCTCACCCCAGAAAGGCTACCATGGAAAAATCCAACCAATAACAAACTTTAGAGAGGCTACGGGGAAAAGGAACCCTTGTCCACGGTTGATGGGAGTGCAGATTGGTACAGCCACTATGAAAATCAGTATGGAGGTTCTACAAAAAGCTAGGATTAGAAGTCCTACTCAATCCAGCTACTCATTTTCTACTTTTCCAAATGAACTGAAAACATCATACAACAATGATATATGTGCACCCATGTTTATAGCAGCATGATTTGTCATAGATAAATCATGCAAACAACCCAAATGCCCATCAACTGAGGAATTAATAAAAAAAGATGTGATATTTTTACACAACAGAGCATTATTCAACTATAAAAAGATAAACTCAAGGCTCTTCTAGGTGAATGGATGTACCTAAAGACCGTACTAGTAAGTGCAATAAATCAGACCTGCATGTGCAAACATCCTATTATCTAGCTAGTGTAAGAACCTGAGAGAGCAAATAAAATTTAAAAGGTACAACAAATACTGTGAAAGGGAAGGAATCTGTTCAATGGGAGAAAAATTGGGTTGAAGAAAAGGATAATAAATAGAGAAAAGTTGTATTTATGTACGTATGTAGGATAGCTTGGATAATAGTTCTGCTGATTTCTGCTGGTTTATAAAAGGAGCAGTTAATGCTTACCTTTTTTCTTCTCCTTTTCAATTTCTTAATAACTTTTTTTAACCAATTTGCATGTGTATATTTGGTAATTTAAGCAACTAATTTGAAGATAACATTATACAATACAACAACCATTGTCAAATTTGTTTAGTGAAATTCTGCTTCATTTCCAATGTTTTTATTTTGTTGTGTTTTTGTTTGTTTGTTTGTTTGTTTTACCATTTTGTATTCTCTTTAAAAGATAGAAAGTAGGGCCAGGGAATTGGCTCAGTGGTAGAAGGACCTGCCCGGCAAGCACAAGGTCCTGAATTCAATCCCTGGTGCCGCAAAACAACAATAAAAAGTAAAAAATAGCTGGCAAGACAGCTCAGCGAACTAAAGTGCCTGCTTAGGTGAGCTTAGGACTACAGCTCCATGCCCCTTTACTACAGGGCATGCCAGTTCCACCCCCAGGGTGGGCTCAGACAGCCACAGAGTCCGGGGCATAGTGGTTGGTAATCCCAGTGTTGGGGAGGCTGGAAACGGGAGCATCACTGTGAGTCTGAGCTGCATAGTGAGACCCTGTAACAACCAAACACATTGATAAATAAATAAATAAATAAATGATACTTCCTTATGAAATTTGTACCACAATAAATGAAAAGACCTATTCAACCATGGTAAAGAGACACAACAAAGCCATGGCAAATGATATATCAAGTAAAGAAAAATAAATTCTGCTATTAAATAAGACTATCACTTCAACTAAAACAATAATCAATGTAATCATAGCAATAAAAATGATATTTGGGTTCATTCCTTTCAAGGAGTTAAAATAATGAATATCTTTCATAATTAAACTAGCAAAAACAGATTTTTAAAAACTTTAATGCTTAGCATATTAACTTTACTTGGAGTCACTGCCCTACATACTTTCTTCAAATTTCCTTGAAGATTGTATCATTTATATCACTTTTTCTTTATATGAGTAAGTCATTCTTTATCTTTATAATTTTGCATTACTGAACAAAGATTTTAATACTTGATTTTTAGTAAGGCTAAAATCAGCTAAAATTGCATTATTTTAGGTTTTCAGAATCATTTCTCCATTTCTTGTAGTTGCTACAACAGAATCTGTTTCTTGTAGTTCTTTTTCTTATTCATGAGAAAAGCGTTTCTTTTGTAAGACATTCTTTCTTTGTGGTATAGATGATTGAATGCAGAACCTTTGCCCTGAGCGACATGCCCAACTGTTTTTAATTTTTTATTTTGTACAGAGTCAGGAAAAATTACTAAATTTCTCAGACTAAGCTTGAATTTGAAATCCTCCTTTCTCAGACTTGCAGAGTTCTGGGATCACAGGTGTGTTACCACCAAGCCCAACTCCTTTCTAAATCTGAATAAGAAGGTTATGTCATCCGGTGGATTTCTTTACCGACAGCTTTCTCCAAGAAGTCATATTCATAAAGTGCAGCACAGTCAGTACGGGCCAAACTGAAGTCACCTCAATTGAAACAATTTTTTGGAACATCGTTTTCTAGAAATAAAGTGAATACTTGCTAAATCTGAATGCATACAGGGTCTCTCTCCAGAACAAAACGTGATGCTGTTCAGCCTGGTGGGCATCTCAGAGGAGGACCCCTTGAGATTCACTCCATAACTGTCCCCTTACCTTGCTGTTAGTCACTCCTGTGATTCACCTTCCTTAGACTGCCATCCCAAAAGCCAGCGCTGCTCATTCACTGATGCTGCATACGGATTCAATTCTCTGTGCTTTTAACGTCTTTGAAGTGATTGAGGATCCAGATTTTAATGTGACTATTTCAAAGTACAGAATATCAAACTCATATTCAGAGAATACTAATCTCTCAAGTAGGAATTGCTTGTTTAATCTTACTCTACAATAAGAAGAGTTTGTTGCTGTAGTTCGACAAGTGTGTGACATCACATTTACCCTTCAGGACATCTCCGAAGTGTTTTTCAGCTCTGATACACTTTTATTATAAGATTAATTATATAATTTTATGGATAAATATTAAGCCATTTACTTTTTTATTCATAGTACCCTCCTTAGAAATGGTGAAGAAAAGCATATGGTTCTACTTTTGCAAACTCTGTATTTCCCTGAAATACAATGTAATAAAGGAAGAATTGTTTGATTCTCACACTTTTTTCAAAAATATATGTAATTACTGCACTAATATTAATCTACCTAAAACAAAGCAGTTCCTTTAGGCACAGCATAGACCTCAAATTTGATCATGGCTATTTTCTGAATGCTTATAGCTCATGTGATCAAACAGACAACATAAATGATTGGCCTTTACGTCTACTGCCTCATTCTATAATGTGACCTTATTCTAAATATATATTCCATAATTGTATCTTGGCATTATGATGTTTCTTTACCCTCTAGTTGCAACTACTTAAAAGCTTTCCTTTCAAGAAATTGGACTCAAAATTTATGATTTAAAAAATGCATCCCTCCTCTTTAACTCCCTGGCTTCTTTTTGACGTTTGATGTCTTTGCTGACTACAAGTTTTAATCCAATAAATGATCATCAGTGACTTTTCAATATAGACCACTTTGATTAATGTCAATTTTTGTCTCTTACAAGGATCCTTCCCGACCATTGGGGTGGAGACGTTTTGTCCCAGCTTCCTGAGGACAGGGTTTTTAAATAGTATCCAGGCCCCGCATCCAGTGCCAGGGGGAGGATCTTTGCCCCCCAGGATTCCTGGTAGGTACCTTTGGTGAAATTTTCTGCTGCATGTCAACCAAAAACTATATGACAGACTTTGACATACTCATGTTTCAAAAACAAATATTTCTAAGATGTATCTTTTAGAAGAAATGGAAGTGATTATAATTCAGAAATCACATTTATGATACCTGGTTCATAATAGCATAAAGGAAGCAGAAAGACAAGCCAGGCGCCCAGTATCCAATTCGCAGAACACTGATCTACTGGGAAATGCATGCATAAGAACCAGAGATTGGGGTGTCTAATTTGTAACTCGAGAATAAAGCAAAGTGGGTTTAAGCCACTTTGCCAGTTTGAATTGGCCAAAAACAGAATTAAAAACTAAATGTTCTTGACAGCAAGAGTAATTCCATATTTCAGTGCAAGTATAGAGATTTGAATATAGTTCCATTTCACTGGAGAAAAGTGATTTGAAGAAAATCCAGGAATTAGCAAATTTGGAAGAAATTTTGAAAAAGAAAATTAATGTTCAGTACTCTCTAAAAAAATAAATCCAGGGGGCTGAGGAGATGGCTCAGTAGAATAAGTGCTTGCCTGGCAAGTGCAAGGACCTGAGTTCAACCCCCAGTTCCACCAAAAAATTTTTTTTAAAAATCAATCTAACCAAAAGCATTAAATAAAATATAGAACAGTGAGCATTTTAAATTACAATTTCAAAGGATAGTAAAACATTATATGTTATCCATGGTATGAGTATAACCACAAACTGTTTTTTCCTGTCATTTAAAAAATGCAATTGCTTTTCTCCATTATACCTGAAGGATGCTCCCCCCTCTCTCTCACTCTCTCTCTGTCTCTCTCTGTCTCTCTGTCTCTCTCTCTCTGTCTCTCTCTCTGTCTCTCTGTCTCTGTCTCTGTCTCTGTCTCTCTCTCTCCGTCTGTGTCTGTCTCTCTCTCTCTCTCTCTCTCACTATATATATATATATATATATATATTTCTGAAAATTCAATGTTGAAAATTTCCCTAGTATTTTCTCTGTGGCTAATCTGGGTGCTGTGCAGTAGAGGGAATGTTTTCTAAAGTACTGTCTTTGTTTACCAACCCGTGCTTTAAATACTATGCTGCAACACCTACTTTGACATGTTTTTATCTGAGAGTCTATTCATCATATGACTTGGGAAAGACAGAGTGAGACTCTATCTCTCGTTATTCGCAGCCAGGTAAGAGGACACACTGACAGTTAAAAGCTAGATTTTTTGCATTTCCTGAGTATATAATTAAGTATATTTATATTATTTATCCTTTGTGAAGATATCTTGATGAAGCTTAAAATTAAAAAGATGAACTTTTCATATCCTCACTTCTGTCCCCTTATTAGCCATGCTAGGAAATAGATTCATAATCCAGTTTTCTATGTACTACCATGTATAGACCATTTCTATGCCAAGGGATTTACAATTATCAGTCAATGTTAAAATGTCTTCATGGTCAATTAACAATGATTATCAATATTCTCCTTTTCATATTTCACGTGACATATTAAGACATCAGGGAAAATTTTACATGTAATATTATCTAATACCGCTTCTTTTCAGGAAGTTTAGATACTGGAAATAGACGAGGAATAATAAATTTGAACCTGCAGAAAGCCTAGGATCTGGTTAATATATTTCAGTATCAGGTTTTAGATACAGACAATTGCAGAAAAGAAGTAACACAAAATTTATTTATTTATTTTTTTTTTAATTTTTTTTTATTTTTTTATTTTTCAACAAATAATACACTGCATATATTCTTCTTAGTGGTTAATTGCTGTACAAGATGCGGACTTGTGATCCTATTT